TTGTGAAAAAGAAAATTGTTTTTTTCTGTGAAGAAAGCTCTAGATCGCCCTTTTTTGCTGTCCTTATCTATAAGTAATAAATGAAATAAATTAATAAACTATTCTGGAATATAAAATACTATTTCAAGATGTAGACAATATTTATTAATTTAATATAAATGCTATTATTAATACAAAAATTATATAGTTAAAACATATGACAACTAGCGTTGCCAAAACATACAAGAATTTCATGTATTATACAGGAATTCTAACAATTTACAGGAAGACATTTTCATGTACATTGAAAAATACAGAAATAAATGATTTGAAAATAAGCTGTAATACAGAAAAATACAAAAATTTTTGACAGTTTTCAAACATTTATACAGGATTTTCAAAATATTATTTGGCAACGATAATGACAACTCTAGGGATTGTTATCATAGATAGTATTGACGATCCATTGCATGTGATATGAAACACGACAGGCATATCCTTTAGATTTTGGCGCTAAGCCCATACATGCATTTCCCGTGTTTGTACCACGATAAATGCCAATAAGTACAGCCACACCATTCACATACTGAATAATTGGTGAACCAGAATCACCCTGGTCGTTCGGGGACGTGTGCCCAACATTAAATAACCAAATACATAGTATATAAATTGTTAGACAAATAATTAAATAATGGTGTAAATAAAAATCAAAATCCAACCGTTATGTTATAAGAAAGTTTTAAAAAAGATAAAATGCAAAATATAGCATACGGTACAACCGGCTGTTCCCGTCGGGTATGGTGTGCGCTTAAAAAATAGCTTTACACTTTCACCATGACTATTGTTCGGATTGCCCTTCATGATTTTAGTCCAGCCCACGCGTTGTACACCTTTACCCCACCCGTCATCTGTATTGTGTCCGAACCCATTCAATAGGGCGTACTCTTCGGCCACATTTGTCACATTCTCTTCGGGCAAACAAATGGCGTTAATTCCCGTCAAACCCGACGCCCCGTCCAGTAGTATATTAGTGTTGAGTCGGATGAGCGCCAGATCGTAGGCAAACCATTTGTTTGCTACGTACGTGGGATTAATGTAATACTCGCTGCCCGTATAGTATTTTAAATTTGAAATGCCCTGATTAATTAGTCCCGCGTATACACGGATGTCAGTCACCGTACAGTTCGCGGCACAGCTTAGATATTAATTAATATTATATGTATAGTTGTTTATAATTATTGTAATATGTATATAAATATTGTTACAAATAATACAATACATACAGGCAGTGACCGCACGTTAAGACCCAGCGTTCATTAAGTATTACGCCACTACATGAACGGTGTACTACGCCTACGCCAGTGGTGGTGAGTGTTATTTGAATGGTACAGACATTTGATGTTTAATGATAATTAGTATCGACCT